GTGAAAACGTGAGTAAGGAAATGTAAGTAATATTATTTATTTTTTTTTTTTGTTCTTGATTGAAATATATTTTTTCTTTTTTGTTGTTGAAACCTTGTTTGTAAAATCCAGGTCATTTTATAAGATTTCGATTAGTGGTTACGTAGGAAAAAATTTTTTTCTGAAACGATAAGGCCGAACTGTAAATTGATTGATTAGCAAAACAATAGTAAGAACATAAAAAAAAAAAATCATATTTTCGGATATAGAGTAAATAGTTCCAATTGTTGGTTATTTAGTGTATAACGTTGCTATTTTAGGCAAAAAGTTCTTGTAACACGAAAATGTCCAATAAAAATTAAAAAAATCAAATTATTAGTTTAAGTCAAACAAAAGGAATATTTCTTTATGGTGATGCAAGTTTGTACATGTATTTTACTTTGATGAACCAATTAGTGAGACTTTTCAAAAATAAAAAAAAAAATTTTTTTCATCGTAAATTAAGGGGAGGAAATTTGATGTAATTTTCTGAAACATCACAAGGAGCGGAATTAACAGAAAAAGGAGTAGTGACCAAAGCTCAAACAGTTGAGTCAAAATTCATTACCAATTTAAATTTTAAATTTTAAATCTCTTTTTTATTTTTTTTTTTATTTTTTTTTTTTTTGTGTTTGTTTTCATCAGCATACCGTATTATCGGCATACAGCAAAATTTCCTTCTTTGGGTTTAAATGTTGCGCCACACTCTAATGATATTATCAACTTGCAAGTATCGCGGTGTACGAGCCATAAATTTCCTATGAGTACCTACTATTCTACTCGTCGAAATGATCACTTTGTAATAGAATCATTTAATGCGATGGTGCATTATTTTTTTCGTTAAAGACAAAGGAAATTTTTTTTTTTCGTTTTCGATGTACATCTCAAATGCAGGGTGGGACTCTATTTTGTTTCTGAACCTCGAAAATAGTTAACAATAATATTACATATCAACTTTCTCGAAAATGAAAAAAAATATTTATTAATTAATAACAAAATAACAATAAATATATTATCGGAATTACGGCAGAGATTTCCGAAATCAAAATATCCCAATTATGCATATCGCAGCAACCATAGCTTTAAGGTTTTCAACCTTAAAGTAGTTATAATGTGACTTGAATTATTATCTTTTCATTTTTGGAGGTTTCTTTGTCTCGTTCACGCCCCACGTTTTATCGTTATTAATTAAACAGGCATTTTTTTCTTTGATCCATCTCTTTTATCTAATTGATCACGAAAAGAAAAAAAAAAAAATATCATTGTTATTTTTTACGTTAAATCTAAATCTATATATAGAAAAAGACCCGCTGAAACATTAACTTTATTTTTATTAAGAAATTTACTTTGCCGATGCACAGGCCCTTGTTTCACACGAGCATGACTCGGGAAATTATTAAGGGTCTACACGTTTGACGTGACAAAAAAAAAAAAAAGATGAAACAACTCATAAATTTTCTTCTTGTGAATAATGACACAACACATAAATATTTAATCAATGTAATAATTCCAATGCATTTGAACTAACTAGTCCAAGAGATTTCTTTTTTCCTCCCTTTTTAGAACGTGTTGATTACTTTACCATTGTAAACAGATGTAATTTAATCAATGTATGAGTCCTTGTGTTAAAAGGTTTTCAACGTAATACCCCCCTTATTTTTTGGGATTCATACTTTCGAATATTCCCTATGTAAGAAGAATTTTTTTTTTTTTTTTTTTGAATTCATTCATTTCCCAATCCATATTACATGTGAATAAAAATTAATATTAATATTATTTTTACCAACTTTCAAAAGCGTTGCGAATTGGAAAACCCATGTGGGATGTGTGCGACCCAAATCGTTGGGGGTACTACGGTTGATCACCTGAACCGAAAATAGCCAATTCATCAATAAGCCTCCTTAAAAGGATGTGACAAAGTGATAAACTATTATTATCATTATCATCACATTCCAAAGAGAACTTTTTGCATTGTTGAATAATTACGTTCATGAATAGTTCCTTGACCAAGACCAAACAAGGTGAACAAGTTCGTTAGCATGCTATGTTAACCATTTCATATTCAAGTTGTTCTAAATGACCTTTCCAATTTTGAACGAGTAATATTGTGACAATATGGAATTTTCGCATATTACATGCGATTGTTCGCCACATATGCAAAAAGCATGATGGTCTATTAATAGGAATTACTCATTTTTTTTTTTTTTTTGATTAAGGGATGACTCCGACTAATAATAAGTGGCAAATCGATTATGTTTGGTATTTGGAAATTTCTTTTTTTCTAATAATAATCATCATCATAATAATAATAAAAGCGACGGCTCGTCCGATACCTTGAAATTCCTATATAGAAGGAATGGAATTAAAATAATAAGTCACTATTCTTCTTTTTGTGACTTCGTTACCAAAACCTGAAACATCATGGCGCAGCATTCGTAGCTATTTCCAAATGCATTTTGATAAAGAGAACGCCTTCCATTGCGTTTTGAAGTTTGAAACTAAACCATAATTGGTTGTAGATCGTGAAAAAAATAAATTATTATTTGACCCGACGTGTAATGAATGATAAATATTAAAAACAATATTGTAAATAAATAATATAAATATTGCCAATGGTTATTTTTCATATTACTAATATATTTTCCACTTTACTTTTTTTGGAGGGCTATTTCCTAATTTATAAAGAATACCTTTTTTTTTTTTTCTCAAATAAAAAAACATGGGGGGCTGATAAGATTAAACATTGGTCATCCTGAAATTTCAAAAAGGGCAGTGTAAATATTATGACAAAAATAACTACCTTTATTCCTGTTTCCATATTAATATTATAATGGAAAAAAATTATATCCGGTAAACTAGAACAAATTCTGGGAATTAACAAGTTGTTTTGTGTAATATATGCAAATGGAACACATGCAAAGGTATTATTTGAATCTCCAAAATAAAGAATGCAATGAAATAAATATTATTCAAACCCTTCAAGGGTTCACTGGTGATTAAAATGCAAATTTGAATATTCGAAAGAGTTTCTTTGTATCGTGTAAATAAAATAAAAGACAAAGTATGATTATGTCGATACTTTGAAAATAATAATAATAATAATAATAATATCTACCTTTATTCTGTTTCCTTATTTAATACTATAAAAGATTATGCTATTTGTGTAATAATAAATGAAGCACATGCTAAAGGTTCTTTTGAATCGTTCGGAAATAAAGTTTATTGATTAAGGTAGTTAATGCATTGGTCGTCCCACCTCACTGGACCTAAGTCACTATCATCGGTGACGAATTATTTAATGATTATATATGAAAGATTCAAGCCAACCATTCATCTTAACGAACCTATGAAAGAGTCGCTTAAATGCTTAAAAGTTCATTCCAATTTATGAGATCAACCCGATAATCGCGCTCTAGGAAATTATTAACATTATTCAGGTGTATGATCGGAAAAAAGAAAAAATAATTTCATATCTTCGGAGAAAATTTTATGCTTTTTTGAAATAAATAATTTTTAATGTCCTTAAAAAAATTTGGCATTTTTCGCCAAGAAAGATTTCCTAATAGGATCCAGGAGTTAATTTGTGGTTTCGTTTCACTTTAGTAGTTGCTTTTGGATGCAGTAATAATTATTGATCGTTGGCCAGAATATTATTGCATAGTCATGTGTCATCATACTGTAAATTGCAAGGTGTGGGGAATTTTTTTTTTGCTTTAGGATACGATGAAGATAAGATTTGTTTGGTGATATGACTATTATCTGTATTCTTCCAATCAACGTAGAAATCGGCACACATGAGGTGTGTTTGATGCGAGGAAATTGGATTACAGAATGTGAACATCCCCCGCTCTCGTTATAATAGAATGTGCCTTTAGCTTACGAAAATTAATATCTCGAGAATTTTTTTTGTTCAATAGAATAGAATAGCGAGAAAATAACATTTACCGTGAATGCTAATTATCTGTATAAAAATATCAACGAAGCTGCAGTCGAGAAGACTGTAGTCATTGATGAAATCTCTGCTTTGGTTGACGGATGCTTTGAACGAAGCGTTAGCCATTAACGTTGGTTCTATCATTTGCTCAACAAGTTTATGTTGAAAATTTGTTTTGACGGAATCATCAATGAATTTACCCAAAGTCGTTCTAAATAAATGGAATCTGGTATTAATATAATGTTATGTTGCACATTGTAGTATGAGTAGAAGGATGATATGATCGGGAATCGTATGATGGTTGCTGACATTTACCTAATGGTCACACAAAGATGTTAATAAACCAATCAGCGAAAATGCTCGTCTCTTCAAGTAACCGCGTGTGAAATTTTCCCCGGAGACGGTGTCACCGTAGCCCACACGTGACTATCAACGCTAACACTTTTTGAAAAAAGTCGAATAAAAATGAATATTAAAACTTTTTAAAAACATTTATATCAAAAATGATTTTTATAAAATGTAAAACGTTTTGACGATGTAAAGGTGGTTGGTATTTTTTGATATTTTGGTAGAATTCTTTAAACGCACAGCCGACCGAAATCGGTTAACTTCCGGTCAGCAGATCCGATTTCCTAAGACCGGGCCGGTCCTTTTTCGGGCTCTCGCATTTAATGAGACCAAATTTCAGAAATAGGTTTCTAAAAATTACAATGACATCATCAAAGTTCAAAGAATCACAAAAATAGTAAAAATTACTAATCACGGCATCAAATTTCAAACAAAAATAAAAAATGATACATTACACAACCAAATAACCCCCCATGTCTTATGAAAGGGTTAAAGGAAATAAAAGCATCGAACGCCACGGTTGATTCTCTCTTTGCTTGCTTGGTTAGTCGGAATTCGGACGTTGCGTTCGATCCCTAATTTAAAAACTTGTTTCTATAAATGGATCATTACAATTAAACAAAAATTCAGTTAATTTACCTATAAAAGATTAATCAAATTCTTTTTTTTTTCTTTTGAAACAAACTTTTTTTTTATCAGGATGGCAAATTATAAAAGGTGCAATGAGGAAGATGTCCGTGTGGTAGTAACTATAGGTATGCAATTGTTTTGCATCATTATTGTTTCATCTTATTGTCTTCTCTTTGAATGCGATACTAATTAATATTATTGATAAAAAAAAAAAAAAAAAAAAAAAAAAAAGAGCTCGGACCGGTTTATACCAGTAAGCAAACTTATATGAATTTTTTTTTTTTTTTTTTTTTGTTAGGCAGAATCATTTTAACGTTATCAAAGCTCTCGATTTCGCAGCATTTTCCCGAAAATATAAAGCACATACTATAAATCCATGGTAAAAAAAAAAAAAGCCCAAAAAGATCATTTTCTGCTTTACGATAAGAAAAATTTAAAATTATATTTTTTTTTTTTTTTTTTATAAAAAAAAAAGGAAATTTCAACAACATGAATCATATAAAATTCCGGCCATAATTCAATACAACGAATCATATAATTCGACCATAAGCATCGGATTTCCCGTATTAGAAGAAATCAAATCAACATTATCATCAAAACATGATGTTGATGAACATCATCTTCCTAAAGAGTTGTTTACATTTCAATTATTTGTTGATGAAGAAGTCTGGATACCACCAGAATTAAATTATAAACAAATGATTTGCCATTATTTGCTAGGAATTCTAAAGGTAAAGCTCAAATATTTATAATAAACAATAAATATAATTTTTTTTAAGGATTTTTTTTGGTATAGGCGATAAGAAAATCGATAAATAAAAAATGGCCTGATCTTGGTACCATACCTCACATTGGAATACTTTATATTATACCAGATACTTGGGTAAAAAAAAAAAAAAAAAAAAAAATTAAATAAAATAAAAATTTTTTTTTTTTTAGCTTTGCAATTTAATTTAATTTAATTTAATCACTTTAGGGGGTAACAATTAGAGAAATAATCATAGATTTCACATTAAATTCCGGAATTATATATTCTAAAGAGAATGAAATCCAATTTATTAATCAAGGTATAAGAGTAAATAAAAAAAGTAAATAAATAAATTATAAATATATATTCATACATTTCTTTATTTTCATTTTCTTTAAGCAAAATCGATGGCATTAGAATGTCTTGATAATGTTGAACATGAATCATTAAAAGTTGGAGGTGAGTAGAAACAGATCAGATGACTTGTCAATGGTTCGTATTTTGATATCAGTTTCTTTTACAGATTCATTCTTATTTGCGACGTGTGAATCGAATTCAATTAATCTGTCAACGAGGTCACTATTATCACCGACATCATTATCGGATTCAACTTATCAAACCAGCGCCACGAATATAAATTCATGCATAATCTCAGCGTTATTATCAAAGTCGAACCTATCGCATTTGTTACAAAAAGATTTAATTAATCAAAGATCAAATGATTCATTTAACGAAATTCAAGGGCAGGTCTATGAATTCCTTAACAATAATTTTTTTGCCGTCCAAACGGAGGATGATGATTGTTTCGAACAATTGGATATTGAAATAATTAAACATCAATTATCGGTTTACTTGAATAGTGAATCAAAAGATATTATAGAAGAATTCAATTGGAAATTGCCTGTAAAGTTGGAAAAGATACAAAATATTTGTGAAGAGATTTCAAATGATATTGTTAATTATTTAATAGACCATTTACATTGGTGGCAACATAACTTTACGGAAGAACATTCATATTCAACGATTTTCTTAATCGGTAGTTGTTTCAAAACAAAATATCTAGTCGATCTAGTCAAACTAAAATTTATTGAGAATTATAAAATGGAATTTACCAAATCTTACATTTCCGATTTGATATTTATAGATAAATCTTCTAGTTCCGCTTCAAGACACGGCGCTGTCATTCATATACAGGATGATAAGATTAAAGAAAATTATTTGAAAGAAATCAAGAAAAAAAACATTGAACATTAACACTTAGATTAGATCTTTTTCTTTATGGTATTCAGTAACATTTTTTATTTTTTTAAAACTCATTTACACACGTAACTAAATTATGGCCCAGCCATAATGTATTTATTATCAAAAAAAAATACATTCAATAAAATTTTCGGATTCATCTGTTTCGATTTATGGCATATAATCTGAATCATTCAGCGAGAAATAATTCTTCTTCTTTATCGACCATATCAAGGCAAACGTTCCAACCTTCAATGGTTTGTACGATATGATTAGCATTAGGTCTTTTTTCAGGGCGGTGAGACCAGCATTGAGTCATTAATACTAGGTAACAATTCGGGATGCCTTTCAGAATGATTTGACTAGTCCCTTCATGTATACCACATTCCTCATCAAAATAATTTGGATACAGAGGTATAAAAGTTGCTAATTCGTACATTATCATGGCAAAGCTATAAATGTCCGAGGCCATGGTTGCCATAGTAAATCGATCCCCTTTGGATAATTCGGGCGATACGTATGCCGATGATGAAAATTTCTTTCGAATTTTTGAACAAAACCCCAAATCCCCGATAAAAGCGTGACCATCGTGAATAAATACATTACCAGAATGTAAATCTTTATGAATTAATTCGGCTTCATGGATTGATTTTAATGATTGGGCGATATCATAAAGCATAGAAATACGTTTGGACCATGTGACGTTCATGAAATTATTACTTAAATAATCTCTTAAATTTCCATCTTTTGCGTATTCCATTACCATGATCAAATTTTTTGTGAACGGGTCCCTTGATATTCCATAACATTTCAATACATTGTATAACTTTGGTGTACGTTTTTGATACACGCCGAATGCATCCAAATATTCTTGAGAAATACTTTGAGAGTTGTGTAATATCTTTAAGGCCACATCATTCTCTCCCGTTCGATCCCAACTGTCATCTTCATTCAAATCAATTGTTTTCCCATCGATCCATCTTGCCCAATACGTATCACCATAACCACCTTCTCCGATCCATTGTAAATCTTTAAATTTTTCAAATGGTATCCACTCCAATATTTCACATAGATTATTAGAGTATAATTGTGTGTTCTTGATCAATTCATCAACGATGTTCTGTTCACTATTCCAGCTAAAATTCTGCTTAAAAATCCTAGGGAAACATGTTTTACACCATGACATTCCCGTACGAGGTCGTTTACATCTCTTACATACTCCATAAATGCAACAAGTTGATGTGGTTGGTGAACATGACGATGAACTTTTCCTGTCGTAAAGAGGTAAGTTGGACCTACTGTTAAATGATGACCTTTTTGGAAATTGAGCGAATGGCCAAGTTTCTGAAATAATGTCGTATCCTGAGCTTGGAGAAATTTCGACCGATGGAGGCAAAGGCAATGGTTTATTAGGTTCATTCATCCTTAAAAGTTCAAAGTCATGGAAAACTTGATTGAAATTCGCTTCGTCCTCTTCACTTGGTGTTGACGTAGCGTCCTCGTTTTTGAGTGATGCAGGATCACGTAAATCATATTCAATCAACGTGGGAGGTGGAACGACTTCGTTAGAGATGTGTAACGCTGCTTCATTTAATTTTATTTGAGGTAAATCGAATAAATTGTCAGTACCGGCTGACCTACACTGATTGTAATGAATGCTCGTATTTATAGAATGCGAAGTATGTACATAATTTTTTGTAGAGAAGCATCCATAATCGTCCATTATATCCGAAGAGGTAATCCTTATTTCATTGCTAACCATGATTTCAGTCAAATTATATTTTTTTCGTTTTTTATCTTTAACATTTCTTCCACCATTTAAAGCGCCATTAAAATTGTTTAATATATAAAGTAATTTATTGGTCGATTTTGTCGTATCCGTCGAACTAGCTGTACTTGTTGAACTTTGACTCTCATTCGATGAAATTGATGAGATTGATATGCTATCGGTATCTGTTGAAGAATCGTCGTTTATTGGAAGAATTTCGAAATGATTCCGTTCGAGGTTTTGTGGCGCGCTGTCATTTTCACATGTTTGTTGTTTACGTAAAAATGAAAATTTCTTTTTAAGATTTGTAGAAGAAGGAATGTCTTCGTGTAAATTTACCGGCTTTTTTCGGATAACCGTTGTAAGACTTCGTTTGAGCTTCTGTGGGACGTCATTACTTTTATGCGATTCATAAAATTGTTGTATTTTTGAAGTGGATGAACATCTACGTAAATATAGATGTGATGTGTTATCTTCTATCAAAGAAGGACTCCCTTCGTGTAAATTTACCGGGTTTTCCGTAAGTTTATGTGGTATACCATTATTTTCATATGATTGTTGTATATTAGTAGCGGACGAAGATTTACGCAAAGGATGCGTTAAAGGAAACTCTTCGTGTAAATTTACCGTTTTTTTGGTTTTTCGAACGATCGTTGAAAGACTTCGCTTAAGTTTCTGCGATGCGCTATTATTTTCATACGATTGCTGTAGATTAGCAGCGGATGAAGATTTACGCAAAGTTGGAATTAAAAATTTCTTTTTAGAACCTGTTGATGATATTGATTTGTTGTCGGTCTCTATATAAGGATCCCCTTCGTGTAAATTTACCGGTTTTTTGGTTTTTCGAACGACCGGTGAAAGACTTTGCTGAATTTTCTGTGATGCGCTATTATTTTCATACGATTGTTGTAAATTAACAGCGGATGAAGATTTACGTAAAGGTGGAAATAATGATTTCTTTTTAGAACCTGTTGATGATATTGACTTGTTGTCGGCCTCTATATAAGGATCCCATTCGTGCAAATTTACCGGTTTTTTGGTTTTTCGAACGATCGTTGAAAGACTTCGCTTAAGTTTCTGCGATGCATTATTATTTTCATATGATTGTTGTAAATTAACAGCGGATGAAGATTTACGTAAAGATGGAAATAAAGATTTCTTTATAGAACCTGTTGATGATATTGATTTGTTGTCAGTTTCTATATTAGGATCCCCTTTGTGCACATTTACTGGTTTTTTGGTTTTTCGAACGACCGATGTAATGCTTCGCTTAAGTTTCTGCGATGCACTATTATTTACATATGATTGTTGTAGATTAACAGCGGATGAAGATTTACGTAAAGATGGAAATAAAGATTTCTTTTTAGAACCTGTTGATGATATTGATTTGTTGTCAGCCTCTATATAAGGATCCCCTTCTTGCACATTTATCGGTTTTTTGGTTTTTCGAACGTTCGGTGAAAGACCTCGCTTAAATGTCTGCGATGCACTATCATTTTCATATGATTGTTGTAGGTTTGTAGCGGATGAACATCTACGTAAAGATGAAAATAAACGTGTTGACGATATTGATATGTTGTCAGCCTCTATATAAGGATCCCCTTCGTGCACATTTACCGGTTTTTTGGTTATTCGAACGTTCGGTGAAAGACCTCGCTTAAATTTCTGCGATTCACTATCATTTTCATATGATTGTTGTAGGTTTGTAGCGGATGAACATTTACGTAAAGATGAATAAAAACGTGTTGACGATATTGATATGTTGTCAGCCTCTATATAAGGATCCCCTTCGTGCACATTTACCGGTTTTTTGGT